CACTGTCGGCGGGCCTGCTAGCTGCATTCTCTCTAGTCTTACACTTCTAAATTATGGACGGCTAGCGCAAATAGCCCTCATGTAGCTTTGCGCGAAATCCATAACAAACAAACAAACTTATCCAGCCTCATTTGTAAAGTTTGGCATAGTAGGCTTGAAATATGATAAAAGAAGAAGATGTTTGTTTGTAAGAATTTCGTAGAAAGTTACATTTCACTGTGTTGTGAACTGCCATCTTGAAAACAAAACAAATAGGACTATAGACACTAATTGTGAATACCAAATAATAGTTTGAATACTGTTATGGTAGGAAATAGGTACGGAGCAGCACGTGCATTTTAACCGTGAATCTATTACATAAAAATTATGCTTGTATAATCAGCGACTATTTTGTTGTTGTTGTTTAATAGCCCAATGCTACACAATGGGTTTTCTGTGCTTTGCTTACGGCGTGGAATCAAACCCTGGAATTCAGAATTAGATGTCCTTGAACTTACTGCTGAGACACTGGAAAATCAATTAATGTTTCCTAAAATCAGATACAGTTCCTGAAAATCGGTATGATCTGGTCCCTATACCAGGTAATCTTTGAAAGTAATAAGTTATATATAGACTGTTTTGAACGAACAGCTTTGAAGAGTTCCAAAAATTCGATCAAGTGGTAGTAATGCAATAAAATTGTCAGTGAGGTGATGAGAATTTGTTGTTTTGATGTTTGTTTAGCGCAAAGCTATACAATAGGCCATATGCACTCTATCCACCTGAGGAATAGAACTCCGAATTTTATCGACGTAAATCTGCAAACTTACTGCTGATCCATCGAGGAACGATATGGATAGAAAGAAATTCTTGTGAAAAAAAGTTCGAGAAAATTAATAACAACAGTCTTAGAAAAGTTACGTCACCCTTCGTCACACGATATTCTGCAAAAACTAAGAAAAAATTGTTTTAATATGTTTCATATTGTTGTGAGAACATTACAAAAAATGACACAATTTTGACGAACGTACATAAGTAACTATATCTTTTAAGATTTATTATAATAACTTAACACTTTTCTCGGTAAAACTCAAGTAAGCGAAGAAAAAAATGTCAAGAAAAATTAAAATTTATTAGTGAACTCATTACAGATTTCACACCTGCCCAGTGGCGTAGCAAGAGGGGGCAAGGGGCAGTCGCCCCCAGGCGCAGATGTGAAGGGCCAAAATTTCCTCTGGCCTATAATGCCTATTAATTAATAATTATACTCTCCCCTAGGATATAGCGCAACTGCCCTACGTTGAGTAAATACGACACAGTGTTACGTTATTTGTGTGTATTACGCTTGCAGTTTTAACTTCTAAAAGCCGCCCACTGAAATACAGTGAGACCGAATAGAAGTACAGAAGTAAATTACACTATTCCATCATTCATCTGTAGATCAAATACAAGTCCTAAAGTACAAGGTACAAGTAAGTGTATGTTCAACAAAAAGAAAATACGAGATTGATGTAACACATTAATTGGTGTGCAAGATTGGCAATATATATGCAATAGGCAAGGCC